AATACGTAATATATCGTACATTACATCTTTCTACACACACTTGGTAACACAAATTTCACAGTCCAGCACTCTACATAGTGTGTAGTCACTGTGACTTAAAACTCTGATAATAATAACAATAATAAAAATAATAATAATAATAATAATAATGATAATAATAATAAGTGTGAGAAAGTGTGACAAAAAGACCATAGCATACAAAACAAGAGGTAACACTTTACAATAAGGGCACATGAAATATCATTAATTTATGCATTATTTCATATATGAGTAATCATTCATTCATCATGAGTGATCATGAATATGCTGAAAGTAATCAAGTTTAATGCATGCATACAATATATTAATTAATGTAGCAATTAATATATCAACAGTTTAAATCAGTTTTTCATAATAATTAGCACTTAAATTATGGAACAACTTAATGATGAACCACCACCTCATAGAACAAGTTATACATTTAGCATTATTAAAGCATGGCTTCTTCATTGGTTCCTGGTTTGTGAGCCTCAAAGTAAAGTGGTCAAATAATTCAAGAAAGCTGTTAATTAAGCAATTCTTGGTCCCAAATTTAGTCACGGTCAATTCTAACTACTAGTTAGGTCCTCCCTAAGACCTGATGCTGTCAGGCTGAGAGGGTGCAAGCTATGCTTCCTCTGAGAAAAGCGAAAACTCCACATAATTTTTTTGGAAAAAATTGTTAACTGCCAACTCTGTTATTTGCCAGCTAACAGATGCCTGCATCATGCTAAGTGATGGGAGAAGAGAGAATAAGATCCTTCATGCCCAAAGAGAAAGAGAGGACAACAGGCCCTTTTCACAAGATGTGCAAGTGTGTAAACGCTGGGTAAAACAAGTTCTACTATTGCTTTACAGACAGTTACTAATCTCAGAAATAAAGGTGTTCGTATCACTTCAGCTCACCGCAGAACGGTGTGTCACTTTATCTTTGTCATAGCTGCCAAGATTGAAATTCAAGGATGTGTCCAGAATTGTTGGAGAACACCAAACACACAACAATGTGGGAGTCCAAACTAAATAACAGATATAACATTAAATGCTTTGTTGAAATAATCTTTCAAAGGTATCAGGGTACAGTAACGTCAGCTAACATCTATAGACTGGTAAATGAATGGATGAGTGAATAACTACAACCAAACCAAAACCAAAACGCTAGATAAGCCATGTTAGCTGGAGATGTTGAAATAGCTCGCTAACAATAAACTAGTTTGCAAAGAGCTAAATGCACACACACTCCGGCAGCGTGCATGCCATGCTGTCACTGTCCATGCGGCACTGAAGATGTTTTCCACAAACACTGGCTCCTTGCTGAGCAACTGACAGATTTTTAAGGGAGAAAATGAAAACTGTTCCTCTGAAAGTAACTGTAGCAGCAACTTTAAAGCATGAACTGCATTCAATGTAACGTTAGTCAGCAGTGGTGAAATACTGACACAGAGGTTCTTTCACTCCGCACGACAAAGTATCTTTGTTAATTGCACAAACTCATTTTCCCCTGCTTATGGCCAGTGGACAAACCACTGAAACTGAGATAAGGCTGTTTTTTGCTTCAAGCTCAAACACAAAAGCTGTACACACTCTAGTCATCACTGTTGTCTTTGTTATTGCTTTAGCAGAAGCAATGTTATCCTGCAATGAGTACTTCCAGCAGAAATGTGAAAAGGGCCTATTGCACCCTCTTGAACTCAAGGCAATGAGTCAGAAAATGCAAATAAAAACAGAATGCAATAATGTGCAAATCATGTAAACCCTATATTTAGTTGAAAATAGTACAAATACAACATATCAAATGTTAAAACTGAGACTTTTGAAAAATACATGCCCATTTTGAATTTTACACCGACATCATGTTTCAAAAAAGTTGGGACAGGGACATGTTTACCACTGTGCTGCATCACCTCTTCTTTTAACAACACTCTGTAAGCGTTTGGTAACTGAGGAGACCAATTACTGTAGTTTTGAAAGTGAAATGTTTTCCCATTCTTGCTTGATATAGAATTTTGTCTGCTCAATTTGGGGTCTCTTTGTCATGTTTTTCATTTATGATGCACCAAATGTTTTCAGTGGGTGAAAGGTCTGGACTGCAGGCAGACCAGTTTAGCACCCAGACTATTACAGTGCAATGCTGTTGTAATACATGCAGAATGTACTGTGCCTTTGTTCTGCTGAAATATTATCTTTCCTGTAAAAGACGTCATCTGAAAGGCAGCATATGTTGCTCCAAAACTTGTATATATCGTATATGAGCAAGTCACCCATGCTATGTGCACTAATGCATCTCCATACCATTACAGATGCCGTCTTTTGAACTGTGCACTGTGTTACCTGGACAAAGATTTTTGGAAGTGCGCCTGAGCCCATGCAGTGATTTCCACTACAGAAACTTAATTCTGCTGTTAATGCAGTGTTGCCTGAGGGCCTGAAGATCACAGCCATCCAATATTGGTTTTTTGGCCTTGTCCCAGCATACAGAGATATCTCCAGATTCTTTGAATCTTTTAATGATATTATGCACTGTAGGTGATGAAATCTATGGTACATAATATTCTTTGTTCTTTGCTATTTTACATTGAGAAACATTATTCTTGAATTGTTGCACTATTTGCCTAGTCTTTCACGGAGTGGTGAACCCCTCTCTATCTTTACTTCTGAAAGACTCAGCCTCTCTAGGATGCTCTGTTTATACCCAATCATGTTACTGACCTGTTGCCAACTAACCTAATCTCGTTGTGAGATGTTCTACCAGGTTTCCACCACTTTCCACTTTTGTTTGTTTGTTTGTTTGTTTTCAGCATTATTCATCTTTACTAATCTTTTTTTGCCCCTATCCCAACTTTTTTGGAACATGTTGCTGGCATCAAATTCAAAATGGGCATAGATTTTTACAAAAAACAATAACATTTCTTAGTTTCAACATTTTTTATGTTACATATTTGCCATTTTCAATTAAAATAAATTAAAAAAAGGGTTTAAATGGATGCACTGCATCCCAATTTTACTGGAAATGGGGTCGTAACACAATTTTGATAAAACAACAATAAGCAATTCCTTAAAAATGTACCTTATGTTCAGTTTATTGAACAGTATTTGAGAATTTTGAATGGTTTTGCCTAAACAAAATCTATGTTTCCATCTAATCAAATGCAGTTATTTGGTGATTAAAACATCTTCATTAAGAAGTGATAATAAGCAAGCTAACATGCTAGCTGCAAGTTAACATCAGAGAGGACTCATGAGGTAAAAGCTGTCATGTAAAAACATTATCTAGGAACACAGTCACATGGTTTTGGCGAAAGAAACAGAGACTCAAGCCCTTACTATGTTTGCTAACATTTTAGCCATTAGCTAATGCACTAGACTAGAAACAAGTTACACTTATAACTTACACTTATGCTTCTCCCCTGTATATTCTCAGTGTTTCAGTTAAGATGTGGTCTGCCCTCACTGTGGATCTGATTTGGTTTATTTTTGATTATACCTTTTGCAATATAAGCAGTATAAAATGAATATTTTATGTACTGCAGTGAGGCAGGTATATACAGTGAATGTATATTCTACTCTGTAGAAAAAAAAAAACAGTGTAGACCAGCACAGCTGGTCACCAATAAAACTAGCATATGTTATGTGTTGAATGTTGATCAACCAGCATGGCCATGTGGAATTCATGCTTGTATAAACTAGCTGATTATGTAAATTCACTTTTCAAAACTTAGTGGGACATGATGATTGGTTACTGGGACACTGACCCACTAAATGACCCCCTGACACTGGGCCTGGTGTGTGGTGATTGTAAATTGTCCCCCAAAAATAAATAAATGCTTCACTCTCAACAGAGGCACAAATATAAAGATCCAGTCAGTTTGATAATGAATAAAAGATTATATTTATTTCATTGTTAATGCAAGCAGAGTAATGAGTAACTTTAGCTGGACACAAGTAATAAAGAATGCTATGTGAATTGTTGCTGTCTGAATGCATAATTAGGTATTTACGCCAAGCAACATTTTTATTCGTTGTGCATTTTTGATTAATGAAATGTAACTAATTTCTGAAACATCTATAGCTGGCTTTGCATGATGCAACTCATCATGCACTTTAAGTTGCTTAAACCTGCATGAGAGTAAATTGCACTTGAGCGTAAGGTACAGCTTCCTGCAATTCACTTGAAACGCAGCCACAAACTAGTGCAGTAATTGAATATGTTGAGAGCAACTTTGGTTGTTTTATAACTGCTTCATGTCACTGTTAGGTTGCATGGAAATGATGTTGCAGGCAACTCACATGCAACTACAGTTGCATGTAAGTTTCATGGCGTAAAGCCAGCTTTACAAATATTCTTCACACAATTTAGCTACACTGAATATTGTTAAGACACTTTCAGTCAAAAATTGCTGAGATGCATACCTGTCATATAGGGATGTTTAGCAATATTTTGGATGTGTTTAGATCTAACCAATGCAAGATGCCAGATGCACATCAAGTGATGAAATGGGTTGTTCAGCAATGTCATGTCAACAAAATCACCAAATTTAATTAGTATTGCATATAGGAGGTCTGTTGTTAACCCTTTATGTGGACCATGTTCATAAGGCTACATGATGCCTACATACGCTCATTATGACTCCTGACAAACTTATTTTTATAAAGACTTTTTTCTACAGCCACTGGCTATGATAAAGTCTTTTTCTGACATTGTGGTGTCATGACACTGATTTTGGGTGAAATGACATAGCATGTTATAACAACTGACTCTTTAGCTTAGTGTAGATTACAGTGATTACAATGTGTATGTATCAACGTAAATCTAGATGCAACCTAATATCAGAAAAAAGTCACATGACCCGGATATAAGGTCAACATGACAAATGTCAAGGTAATGTCAAAGCAGGCAAATGCAATCTTTATGACAAATGACTGCTTTTAGAAAAGTGTTCATAAATATTTATGTCGGACTTTGAGAGTTGCAATAAAGGGCACAATAAAAGTCATGTATTCTTCTAAACACTGCCATACAGTAAAGTATTATCGATCATTTTAATAGAATATTAGAGAAATATGACAAAGCATGGTAAGGTAGATATCAAAGCCAAAAGTTGACTTGCTCTCAGCCACTATAAGTTGCCTGTTTTTTTTTTTTATTAAATTTTTTAAATGAATCATAAATATTAAAAATAAAAAAGGAGCAATTTTTTTTTGTCTTGCGGTATATTATGCTGCCTTACAAGTGCACTGGACACAGAGAGAAAAAAAGCAACTTTGTTTATGGTATAGTAGCAAAATAGGCAGATTAATTTCAGACTTTATCTACTTATAAAAGAAAACTAATAAGGTAAAAAAGGAATGCAAATCACAGTAATTATCATTTACTTCACGGTGAATGTATTAGCTAATGATGCCAAATGCTGTGAATTCACTCAGCAGTAATCATCTTCCGATTTCGCAACAAATCCACTTTTAACAGCTGCTTGGATGCTCTTCATCTCTTCTGGATCAGCAGAGGGAAGAATGGCCAGCAACTCTTTGTCAATCTTCTCCAGTCTTGATTTACTGTTCTTTTCAAATTTGTCTTTGTTCTGAAGGACAAGATGTAAAATGCCTTTTTGAGCTTCATCACAGGCATTCTGTAACTGCAGACGCTCATGTTCAAACTCTGGTTTTTCCTTGTCCATGGCCATAAGTTTCCCCAGTGAGCTGACACGATCCATGAGGTACTTGTCGGACACTTCAGTGTAGGTTGCTGAGATCATGTGGACGAGGCTGGCGATGTTAGTGGCCTGAAAAGCTTGACTGTAGAGCAGATCTTTAGAGAAGAGCTTTGAGTTGTAGGAAAGTGACTGAGTCTTCTCAGATGTGGAGGCAAAATCTTTGAGAGTTCTGCTCAGGCTGGTTTTCACAATGTTGGACACCATCTGAAAGAAGCGCACCATCTTCTCCCACTGCTCCTTCACTCTCCCCATGGCATCCATCCCTTTGACCAGCATTTGTATGGTGGTGTTAAAGTCTATCTCTTTGACTTCACAGCTCCTCATGGTGATCAGGATTTCAGTCAGTTCCTTTTGGTTTTTCTCCATGTTCTCCACACTCTTCTCATAGATCTCTCTGGTGTTGTCCAGTTGAGCTCGGCTCTGCTCTATGCGGAACCTGGCATTCTCTGTTGCTCTTTCTGAAGCACTTTTCCTCTCTGATTTACTTTCTTCCTTAAACATCATTGGTGGTTTTGGAATCAGGGAAGGAGACTTTGTGACATCTTTGCTCTTGCAGTCAAAACTGCGGGCTGATTCAGTCAGTTTTCTCATTTTCTTGATCAGCTCCTCTGTTTTGGCTTCTTCACATTTCCCATCTGGGGCATATTTTGCCAGTTCTTTGCAGATGTTAATGCCCTCTTCACACAATTCCTGGGCATGCTGTTTGGGTTTGCAATCTGGGATTTTTTCCATATTGTTAATAATTCTTTGAAATTGGTCTTTCAAAAAATCTGTTTTTGTAGCTTTCTTTTTCTGGTCATACAAGCCCTTCCAGTTGATGTCATCCTCATGCACATACTGCAGAATAATCTCTGCACATTTCAGGATTTCTGCAGATTTGCTGTAGATGTTTATTTCACCAATTGGATCTGTAGAACATTCCTTGTCTGTTGTATTTTCTTTGTACGTCTTTTTGCTAAAAATGCTTGTCATTCCAGTAAACAGACTACTAATGCTTTCTGTCACCCCAGAAACAAAATCCATACCAATCATGTCCCAACCACTAGGCAGGGAGTCCATTGCTTTTTTGTAGTTATCTTGTGCCTCCTGCAGCTCCTTCTCCATGGCCTTCATTGCCTTCTTTGTACGTTCATTGACTTCTTTTGATGTCTGTTCTCTCAGTTTGGTCTCTTCTAGCTTCTTCTTGATTTCTTCCAGCTCTTCTCCATAAAAGTGCTCAGCATTTATACAGGCTTCCAGCAGCTCTTGGATTATGTTTATGACATCAGTGAATTGCTTTTCTGTCGTATCAGCCAGTGCAAGACAGTCATCTGCAATGACACGAATGTTCTCCAGCTGGTCAGGAAGGTGTGCTTGAACAATTTCATCATTACCTTGGAACAGAATCTTCACTGCAGTCTTCATGTAGTCTGGAACAGCCATGGTGTGGAGCCGAATCTGATCCATGTTCTTGTGGGCCTCATTGAAAGCCCACCAGCCAGAGTTACACACTTGCATGAGACAGGCACGGAATGAATCTGGGTATTTGATGTACTTGTAGCCGTTCTTTGGTGCATTTTTGTTGATGGAGAAATCTGTTGTGGAAGAGATGAAGACCAGCTCTCCCAGGATGGCTATGGAAAGTGGTGCAGGAGTCAGGTATTCCTCCCAGTTGGCATAAGGCTGCATCACAAGCTTGGTTTGGTTTCTCATCTCCTCAGCTGTGGTGAGGCTTTGAGTAATGTTTACAATTTGAGAAGCCATTGGGTCTTTCTTCTTGCTAAAACAAATGGTATGGAAAACACACTGTGAGAGTATGCAAAATTAATAGGTGACAACATTGTTTTCTAAATGTATAAATTAAATTGTAACAAAACTGAACCCGCCAGCTTTATTGTTGGGAGGTTTGGCAAGTCAGTGAACAAGTGATGGTCAAATCCAGAGAGGTCATAAAAAATGACAAATATAACAAAACCAGCCAACAAGATCCAAAGGGCAAAGACAAAAAGACAAGATCCAATAATCCAAAGACAGGTCAGATACACACATAAGGGCAATCAGAAAAACGCTCAGCAGTTCTCAGAAGAAAAAAGCAATACCTTGCAAAGAAACAAGTCTAAAAGCCCTTTATACTAACTCTACCTGATCATATAACAAAAAGAACAGGTGAACCATATTAGTATTCAGATGAGTGTGAATGATTATTGGAGTGCTGTGGAGGGTCAGCAGGCATGTGATCTCCCATAGGATGCACCTGTCCTCCGGGCCCCGATGATGGCTGCCAGAGCCGGCTGGAGTGAACAGTGAGGATGAACCTCGACGAGGACGGCGGAAAGAGGAGAACAGTAAGTGAATAAGGGATGGCGAGCTAGTCCTGAGCTCCGCCACCCGGTCCCACCCCCTGTTCCACAGTAAGGCCGCTTTACTACACCTCAGATTCGATCCAGGTGGCTGAGATGCAGAGCAGGGCCGGTGACAGGGATATGGAACAATGAGCTCTCTTTTCCTCTCGGCTCAGGTGTTCTGGCTGACAGCGTGAGCGCCTTCTTAAAAGAGCAGAGAGGGAACAGAGAGGGAGAGAGAGGGACGAGCAGCAGCAACGAAAAATTGAAGAGATGAAAAGCTTAGCTTGGATAAAAGAACTGAAAAATCTAGCTTTAAAAAGCACTGAAAAGTGACCAGCTTAGGTTTTGGTTGTGGTTTTGTTTGGTTTGCTTGTGTTTGAACTTCAAATTAAAGACAAAAATGGCTACTGTAACCCTAAATCCTGCCTTCGGCATCCTTTCTGAGCCCGGGGTAGCGCATCACATACTACATTGGTGCCAAAACCCAGGAGGAGGACGTCAACACACTGACGGAGTCTCCACAGCAGAAGAGGCCATTAAGGCCCTCATAGCGGCAACCCTCGGTGTGTGTGGGGGCAGGAGCCCCCCTTTCAACCCACCTCAAGCCTCCAGTCCCAGTTCTGAGGAGGAATGGAGCCCTCCTTCCCCCTCCCCTCCCTTCTCCGAGAGCGCTTGGAGCTCACCTTCTTTCCCCTCCCATCCCCACTCCGAGAGGGCTCGGAGCTTGCCGGGGCAAAGATGTTGCGGGGGCCCCACCTGCTGGCAAAGACGTCAGTGGGACCCTGGCTGTGTCTGCGGCTGGCACAGCCTTCCCTGAGACAGGCCACTGAGGGACAGCGAGTAAGTCATGAACTCTGCTGCCCAGTCCCCGCCCCCTGGTCCACTGCAACGCTGCTACACTACACCTCACGTTCAATTCAGGCAGCTGAGATGCGGAGCAGGGGCGGTGATGGGCAGCATGAGCACCGTGTTGAAATAGCAGAGAGGGAGAGAGAGGGACGAGCAGCAGCAAGGATAAAAGACTGAAGAGCTCAAAAGCTTAGCTTAGAGAAAAGGACTGAAAAGTCTAGCTTTAAAGAGCACTGAAAAGTGGCTAGCTTAGGTTTTGGTTGTGGTTTTGTTTGGTTTGTTTGTGTTTGAACTTGAATTTAAAGACTAAAATGGCTACTGCGACCCTGAACCCTGCCTCCAGCGTCCTCCTAGAGCCCGGAGTCGCACATGACATGCTACAGTGACATAAATATTATTATTATGTTAATTGATAACTTATTTTTAGATATCACTTAACTCTTTAAGCCTTCATAATGACTTGTTAACATTTTAGATGCTTAGTAATTAGTAATTGAGCACAATTTAATTGATATTTGTTTTTTTCTTAGTTTATAGCTAATGTCTTCATCAACTGTGCACTAACTGTTGCTTACTTCTAACTAGTATTTATGTGTTAGTTCCATTAATTATCTATAGTTTGACTTCCATTTCTGTCGAAAAAGAAGCAGAAGATAGCTGTATAATTCACATATTGGTATAATTTTGCACCAAAACCGACAAGCAAGTATTACTTAAAATAGACAAATAAATTAATTAATTTAAATAAGCCATCAGTACATTAACAAACACAATAGTTAGTAAAATGTATGATTAGTGACAATTAAAAAGGAGCTTCCAGTCTTTTAAAAAAATGACTTTATAAATACATTTGCAAGACCAAAACTAAATTAGAGCATATAAACACTTCTTTGTAAGTGTTTACAAATAATATTTCCAGTTCTTCACCTGTTTAAAAGTATTGTTAAAAATTAACACTTAGATTTAAACTGAAAGATTAACACTTATCTCACTGGTCAACAAATAGTGAATAACTACTGTATAGGAGATATATTTATACTGTGCTTCTGAGCTTGCTTACAAATGATATGCTTCTATTTAATTGGTCATTAATTGTTTGCTAATAGTTTACTTGTTTTTAAGAAGAACACCTTAAAATAAAGTGTTAGCCTTATTTCAAGTCAAGTGTCATGTTATCTGTTTTAAGATTTACTTACTATTTGTGAAAATATGGTGCATTCTGGATACTTAAAAATGGACTCTTACAATTAGAAAAATCTAGATGATCTAGATGTCAATCAGCTTTCTCAGCTGTCATGGAATCATCTACAGCTCTGTTCATCATTCTGCACACATCTGAAATTTCTTTTTTACAGCTTCCGGCTAATCATGTGAAACCTATGACAAGTAGTAGCATCATATTAGAACAACGGTCCTTCCAAACTTTTGAATGGTGGTGGTGTATGCAGCTAAATTTCCAACTTCATTCTCAGATATCGGTGATCATTTAAATAAAATATTTAAGTGCTTTATTACATAAAACTTTAAAATTCAAATTAAATTTAAAATTAAAAGTAAAAAAAAAACAATGGGAAAGAAATTCTATATATTCATGGAATGCTATGACATGTTATGTCAGTGGAAGTGGAATAACCCACAGTGTAAAACAATCACTTAGAGATGTGAAGTGATCCTTTCCAAACCTATTACAAACAATTTTACTTGTTTTTACCATGTGTGGCAACTGGCATTATGGCAAAGTGAAAATTGCAGTGGGCTTGGGAGGGGTCGTTTTTACTGCAAGTAATTTTATATAAGTAATTTCATCATAAAGATTGTGTAAAATATATTGTCGCTGTCCAAAGAAAAACAAGTATCTCCAAAATAGTAACTTTACAGGAGAGGGCAACATTTTTTCTTTGCTTTCAATGTACGTTAATGGGAAGAGTTTTTATTCTAAGTAATTTTGGAGCATTTCTATTGGTCCAATCATCATGAAATTTTCACATAATGTATGCAGAACATAATGTATCAGAAAATGATGCAGAAAAGTAAAAATCGCAAAAAATGAAGATACATGTTTTTCATTGGACAGCAACAATATCATCGCTGTCCAAAGAAAAACAAGTATCTCCAAAATAGTAATAAAAAAAAAACACTCTAATCTTTCAATGTAAGTCAATGTAAAGAGATTTTATTCCAAGTGATTTTAGAGCATTCCATTAGTCCATTTATCATGAAAGTTTTTGATAGCTGGTGTGTTGAAATGATTTAGAAAACTAAAAATCGACAAAAATAGAGAGACATGGTTTTCTTTGGACTGCAAGGATATGTAAAAAAATAAAAAATAAAAGTAAAAATTTGAATTGAGGCTAAATCTGTTGCCTCCTCATAGTTCATATAATAGGGTTAACGCTTTCTTTTACAGTCCCTCAAGTTCTAGGTATTAACCTGAATCTGTGTAAAAGAAATCAATGATTCTTAATGTGATTTTACTGGGTCCTTACTATGTACTTCAGAATACTATATCTGTGTTTTGTGCCATCATTTTATGCCATATAATTTAGCCAGTACTTTGAAATTTGTCTACTTACCACCTTTTTTATTCTTAGTAATTATGTGATATCTTACCTTTATGTCATCTATCAGTTTAATAACTAGAACCTGTTCATAATTTCATCCCATTCTAGTTAAACTGTTTTGGAAATTACAATCATGTTTTCCAAAACAATTATCTAGTATTTTGGAGTTTGTAATTCATAGTTACCTCACTAATACCTAGAACTTAGAAAAGTAAAAAAGAAAGCGATACCATGACTGGGGACAAGTTTTCTTCAGAAAACACAAGGTGGCATCAAAATATCTACATGCATTACTTACCAACCACACAAATTCACACAAGAAAAAACAAATAAATGAAGTTGCATGGTGTTCATTAGATGTCCTACCTTGATATCTAGACAATTTGCAGTCAAGATTTCAGTGAAGATGTGGATTTCCTAAATCTGTTGAAACAAAGTTGCGCTCTGAGATGCTATAAAAGTTCAACAATTTTTTTTAAAGCAAAAAGGCAAAGGTGTATGACAAGTTCAGCAAAAAGAAAAGCACGTCCAAAAAGAGTCAACATTGTAAGAGCATAATGAATGATTATTTTCATGTGAACTTCCAATATGTATTTTCTTTAAAACCATAAAAAAAGGAAGCTAACATCATTTCATTAGTTATATTATACAATGAGTTGTTCTACATATTTTCCTCTTTTTTTTTCTTACTTATATATAATTAACATGTACAGTAACATACATAGACTTTGTACTTTAGGCAAAGATGTCTTTAAAAAAGCTTTCAAGTTGCCTTCAAAATAAGTGTGGCAATTAAGTAAACCACTAGCACTTTATATTAGGATTCTGTAAGTACATAGTATTTAATAGGTAATTACAAACATAACTTGCACATACATAGAAAACCAGGAATGTGCAGTAATACTAATTAATGGTTTGCTGCCCAATCTGAGTCTGAGAGGGCCCCACAAAATACTGGGTTTTGGGCCACGATAGGGATGTTTTTCACATGAGTAGGTAGATGTAAACATCAAGTGCTCTCTACCTTTCTATCTCTCTACCTTTAGTAGTAGTAGTCTAAAGCTGGAAATAGGTTGAGGAGTGAGTGAACATGCCCCTGAATTAAATCAGAGATAAGGAGACAAAGTTCAACAGTACCTCAGTCATAGTCACAACATGGGTAATGAGGGAAATGTGTTAGGGTGGTGGAAAGGTCACAGCACATCGGCAATTTCATAAAACAATACTAATACAGGTGAGCAGAATACTAGTTTAACCCAACGTGATAATTTTGCTCAATTAGGTCAAGATACTCAACCATGCCTATGATAAACAATATCAGTTAGTCCTTAAGAGTGGGTTTGGGTGTTAAATTTGGCAGTACCAGCCAGGCCTGGTCAGTTTGGGTCTCAAAGTCAGAGGCATGGGCCAGGGTCAGACTCCAATTTCATGCCTGTGCAGACCTCTTATACATATTTAAAGCAATACTTACTGTACTTTTCAAGTTCGATATGTTAATACGAGGTATGTTTCAGCATTTAGTATTAAAAAGTTCAGTATATTTGGTAAATGCATGTAAGTATAGTGGACAGTGGGTAAGTACAGGTGAGAAAGTTATAAAAAATAAAGTACATACCCTGGAGTAAAAGTACAGCAGTTCATTCCATATGAAGTACATTTACTAGTAAAAGTACTATTCATTAGTAACTGAAATTAATTAGTAATGTGGTAATAGGATTATAAATAAAGTGCATGTGGAGTATATATTGCAGTGCGAGATTTAAATAATTGCGTAGGGAAAAACAAAAGCAACCCTACTGTTTTTGTACCTGTCACCTGTACTTACCTTCTGTTCTCTGTTGGGTATGTATCTATTGCTGAAATAAAGCTAGATATGCTTAAATATACCTCATATTAGTTACTATACTTTTACATATTGAGTATGCACCAATTAATCACTGGAAGTACTACGCAATTCTGAGTAATTATTGCATTGCAGTATTAAAAGCTACTGTAAATATCCATAAGTTACCTTGTACCTGCAAAGTATATACCAGAAATTATTTGCAATTACTACATAATTACCTATTAAATACTAATTACTTCTTGCAGCATAAAATAAATGTCTACCAAAAAAAAAAACAGTAGTTGGACAGTATTCAGTAGACATCCTACCTTTATAATGAGAGTATTTTCAGCCAAGCTTTAGACGTGCGTCTCCCAGCTTCACTCAACCAAAAACTGAAACCTGTATTTATACTAGTGTGAAAGCGGGGGTGGCTCTTTAAAAGGACACCCTTGCCGAGTCTCATGTAACCATATTTGATGCTGAAGAGGACAAAACAGCCAAGTGAGTAAGGTGAGTTGGGTTTTTGAACTATTTCAGCGTTGCATACAGTATGCTATGTTTTAGACTCTGTTGAACAGCAAAATCCCCAGTGGTAATTTAACACTTACAGCTTGACCTAATGAACACTGAATTCAATACTGGGGATTTTGCTGTGAATGCTGTAATAACTGCTGTGTCTATAAGAAACATATTGTACATCAACATAGTGATGAGGAATATAGTGAATGTAACCCCAGTCTTATTACTTATACTAAGGCTAATTATTCAGTAACTACAGGGACTTTAGTGCAGATGGGTTAAGCTATTCTTAGGTTATAAAAGTGTGTAATAAAACTTTGGGCCCACCGAATGGCCATGTCAGGGGTTGACCATATTTTATGGTATAACTGACCATATTTTTGTGCATATTGACCAATTATATTTGGTTGAAACTATAAACCTAGCTTTTAAGGTAAGTTTATAGTTTTAGATCCACTTCAACCATAAGCAGTCATTTAATTCACTATCCAAAATGTGCATTAAATGTACATAGGATTTACAATATATGTAATGTTGAGAATGGCAAAGTAGTGGTAAATCTGAAAAAATATGTTTTCTGTGAGTATTGTGTGTACATTCACATGTCTGGTTCATGTTACCATCATTATGAGCAAATCTGATTCAGTAAGTTTCCCAAGAATGGTGCATAGCGTCAAACCACTCTGAATGACTAAGGTTTTTAATGACTTTTTAATTACGCAGCTATTTTGTGAAACAATGAATGGAATTCCCCTTTTACTTTGTTGACATATGGATATCACCTTGATGAGTGAAACCAAATGGACTAGCCCAAGCCTTAAACAAGTTTGTCGTTTGTATTGCACAGTAATACTGGGGGAATAGCTCTTATTTTTTATACTAAAGTACTGAAAGGCATGAAAATTGAGGTTGTAGAACTTTAATTCCTAAGATTAAGAATTTGTATTATGCATCAAGTAAGTGTTGGTTAAAACAGAATAAACCACAAATTGCCACATTAAAATCAGAGAACACAACCTTCTCCATGGAACGTAAACTTTGATTCAATTTCACCTGTAACATTTTGTGTTCTGTTTTCTGTGCAAGATGAATCTTTTTTATGCAAACAAATCTACACGTAAACAGTTGCCTTGAATGGAAATTCATAATTTACATAATTTACCTTTAATTGTATTAGACTACAATGTTAATTGTAACATTTGTGAGAAAAGCCTGGTAAGTTGATGGTTTATTAAACACAAATCTAAGCTATTCCAATCAAATGGTCCTCCAAGCCAAAATACATTAGACAGATATGGAGGTTTTATGGAGGAATTTTTCAGCCATGCTAACTTATGTTACATCCAAAGGCTAACGACAGGCTTGTTGTCCATTGGACAATGTTGACCAGTGCACCATCGGAAGCTACTTTGAGCTTTCATAAGGTATTGGATCGATTTCGAAATTTCGCACTCAGTTTGTTCCCTCCCTCCCTATGATCCCACCCACATTTTACCCCAAATTTCTTGTGTTTTTTCCCCAGATGTTCTCATTACGAGATCATGCCTGGCCCCACAAAGCCTAGATGACATTGTAATATGAATACAAGAAGGAGACCAAATGTACATTCTACCTGAACGTGTTTAACTACATTAAAAATGTGTGCTACTTTTTAGGTTGTGCTATGGTCTATTATATGTCTTTTACTGTTATACATGTTTAGATTTCATTTAGACTATTTCATTCTATACTTCACTATACACTATATTTTTATCAGATTGTGAGAAGATTAAAATGAGCCAAATCTACTCATCTGAGTAAGTATGCAAATAGCCATTCTCATATTGCCAAGAAATAATGAGCAATAGTTTGAAAATGTATTTTACAAATGTTAGCAGTAATCATCTGCCTGCTTTTCACAGTCTTTTGGTGAAGAACTCACTTGCAGCAGCTATCGAGCCTCTGGAGGATGGCCTCTGCTCCATCAACAAAGTATATGAGGCCCTCATTGATGCAGATGTAGATCCCATTAGTGGGAAGAGCTCCAACTACAACCACAGCAGAGAGCAGATTGTGCAGGCCCAGCAGAGCCTGGAGGGGTCAGAACAGGCAGCTAGTACAGAGTTGAAGTGTTGTGATGAAAACATTGAGATTCTTACACAAGACGAGGGAAAGCTTGAACAAGAGATGAGTGCTACAAAACAAACATTAGACAACTTGAGAACAGAGCAGACATCTAATAGAAACATACTGAAACAGTCTGAAGATGCTCTGGAGCTGGCCAGAACAAATCTGAATTCTACAAGAGAAACACTTCGGAGGCAGCAGGAGAGGAAGCGTAATGCTGAGATCGTGACAGGTGTAGGAGCTGGATTGTTCATTATACCAATTGTTGGATGGATCGCTGGTGAGAATCGTTTTTCGTTTTTTACAAATCTTAGACTTTATATGCGAGAGTTAATGTAAAACATGTGATATTTCTGTGCAGGTTCTGTCATGGTAGCTACTGGTGCAGCAGAAATAGATCAAGCTTCACGTGCTGTAAGATCAGCAGAAGAGGAGGTGAGAAACTTTGAGGCTCAAGTGGAAAAATACAGGAGTAAAGTGTTTGAATATGAGGCCAAGATTTCTCAGATTGAACATGACATCAGGCAGAAACATGATAAGGTGGATAAGATCCATGAAGAAATCCAGAAGGTGAAGGAGCAGAGAGAGACTGTAGCCGAGTTCCAGGAGAAAGTGAGAAGAGCTGTCCGTGTTCTGAGTGTTCTGAGTGGGAAAGCCAGTGTAACTGAAATTCAGACTCGCAGATTCATCCTCCAGGAGTCGGTGATGAAGGTGATGGAGGATCTGATGAAGGCAATAGAAGAAATCACAGAGAATCAACTCCTCTCTGCTGAAGGCATACCAAAACTCATTGATGCTATAAAGGAGAACAACAGAAAACTGGCAGCCATCTGTGACTCCCCTAACAATGCAGAAGATGAGGGCTACTGACTGAAATGCATAACCTGAAAAAATAAAAAAGGTCTCATGTTTATAATGCAACTATAAGCCAGTTGTATTCACCCCTGGTTCTGGAGGGCTGCAGTCCAGTAGTACAGGCAGAAAGAAATTTTTGAGTAGACCATAAAAACTCAATACTTAAACCTAATTATCCTTGGCTAAAGCATACTGCCACAGCAGACATTAACAATGTTTATGAACCATTTATCTTAACTTTGATGAATCAATGCACTGAAGTAGATGTTTGCTTTGGTATTTTGATATAGATTTTTTAGCTTTTGTAATAAAAGAACATTGTTTTTTTTTGTTTTTTTTGCTTTAGAAATAATAAGAAAATGACTTTCTCTGGGTTAGGATCTCACTTTTACAGGTTCCCTCACTTTTACAGGTCTTTTGACTGCAGCTGGAACTTCCCATTTAAACACTTTTAGGCTGATAACAAACTGAAGATTGAATAGCAACAGTTGATAAGCAGTGATTCAAGGGCTGAGGAAATGAAATATGTCCTTTGACAACACCTCACACATTATGGGGTGACTGGCCATAATACAATGACAGCACTCACAGGAAACAAATCAAATTTTATTATCTTAAATAATACCGCTTACAAAATACAGGTTAAATGATCTTTCCTTATTAGATTAGGCAGAGCTGTGATCCAATCTGGGCAGGCCGTGGTTACACCCCAGCTGGAGTCCAGCACAGTTGGTGCTGTCCCTGTTCTGAGACTCCTACTGAACCTGGCAGTCAATACATGATTTGAGCAAGATATGTTTGAGCAGGGAAATCACCAGTGTGCTTCACTGCGGCCCTCCAGTACCAGAATGAATACCCCAGCTATACATCTAACATAATAGAAACCTTTACATTTCTACATGCTTTCAGCTTAGATTTATAATTGCTTTTTTTCAATTTATTTTTTTCTTCTTTCTTATGCTTTTCTCCTTTTTACACACACTTTGTTTAACTTTATATGTCAAAATTGCTTTATGTTGAGTACTATACATACTACATTGTATTTGAAGTAATTAAGGTCAAATGAGCTCAATTTGTGTTTATTACAATATTACACACTGTATTATCCTAGTTCAGTTAGTTCACAGATTAAATGTTGTTTAATTATACTTCAGCACTGGTGACTTTGCTATTTAGAACTATGACTTTGGCTTTTTTTTTTAAATGATATTGATCTTGATATCTTTATTTACAAACTGTAATCAATAAAGTTTCTAATATTACATCCTCTTTGTTGTTGAAAAGCATTCACATAAAATAAAATGGCTTAACCTGCTACAGCCCACTATGCACAGAGTTATCCTTATGTTTTGACTATAACACATGGTGCTTTCTGTGTTACCACTGAAACACTTTCTTTGAATATCTTGACTATGTGCATCTATAAACACATTCTTAATGTGTTATAATGCATTCAAAAGGCATTACAAACATGGCTATAAATATTTATTAATTGAATTACACTATATAGTCATGTTTGTTATACATCATGAATTGTTAACATAATGCATTGGAAGTAGCATTAATAACATGTTATATTGTCAGTGCCAAAGAAGTCAGTCCCAGTTTCCAAAGTGTAAAGGAATCAAGAAAAGTATTGACTATATATATATATATATATATTTATATATATCTGTGTGTGTGTGTGTGTGTGTGTGTGTGCGTGTGTGCATGAAGATGGGTCAAGGTTCACCACTTTGCCAAAACTGCATCAGCAAAAAATCCCTAACTTTTAAAAAAATTCCTCAGCCAGGTATTGCAAGGATTTTAGGTGCTTTACCCTTTATAGTGTAAAATGTCATCAAAAGATTTGGTGAATGCAACGAAATCTCTGTACATAAAGGACAA